TCCGGAATTCCGACGCTCTTCCCCCCCAAAAAAAAAAAAAATCCCAAACTTGCAGAGCATTCTCCATCGGTGTACCCCGAGGAACCCGGTTAAACATCTTCTCCAAATCCACAAAACGCATGTAGACTGGATGGGCAAACTCCCATGTGACCCCTTGAGAACTCTAGTAAAGAACTGATCCAGTGTTCCATGGCCAGGACGAAACGCTCATTGTTCTTCCTGGATCTGAGGTTCGACCAATGATCGGACTAGCTTCTCAAGTACCCCTGAATAGACCTTATCAAAGAGGCTAAGGAGAATGATGCCCCTGTAATTGGAGAGCACCCTCCGGTCCCCCATTTTGAAGAGGGGAACCACCATCCCTGTCTGCCAATCCAGTGGCACTGCCCCCAATGTCCATGCAGTGTTGCAAGTGTGTCAACCAAGACACAAGCCAAGACAACATCCAGAGCCTTAAGGAAATCAGGGTGGATCTTGTCAACCGGAGCCCTGCCGCCATAGCTTTTTAACTACTTCGTTTATCTCAGCCATGGTTATGGACAGACCAACCCTGAAGTCTTCCAACTCGGCTTCCTTTGTAGAAGACATGCTGGTGGGATTGAGAAGGTTCAAGAAGTATTTCTTGCACCTCCCGACATCATCACTGGTTGAGGTCAACAGCACCCCACCTTCACTGAACACAGTGTTATCAAAGGGCTGTGTTCCCCGCCTCCCTTCCATCACATCTGTGACCAATTGTCTTAACAAAATTATCTTGATGCAAATACCTCTTTAAATGCATTATATTTATACATTTATTTTTAGTGTGGACTTGTGGCGGCTTACAGTGGAGACAGTGACCCTGAGGAAGGAGGAGCAGAGTTTGACAGTGGTGATGGAACGCAGGACAAGCTGACCGACTGGAAAAAGTTGGCTTGCCTGCTCTGTAGGAGACAGTTTCCTAATAAAGAGGGTTTGCTTCGACATCAACAGCTGTCTGACCTTCATAAGGTATCATCAAATTTATTGTCCTCTGATGCAATTTAACCAATTAAAACTTTAATTTGTTGATGCATTCATTTTGTCTGATTTCTCCTAGAAAAACCTGGAAGTTCTTAACAGATCTAAGATGAGTGAAGCAGAGCTGGAAGAATTGGAAAGAAAAGAGTCTGAGGTACATTTTGTTAATTATACTATCAACTTATTAAATAAATAAACCACACATGGTCTGATAACATTTGACATTAGTAAGTGGAAAAACATCCATGACCTTTACATCCCCAAACACATTTTACCTTTAAATTGTCCTCCAGTTGCTTTGTTTTTGTCTATGTAACCGAGGTAGAAGACCTAAAATACTGTATTGTGTTCATAGCTAAAATACAGGGACAGAGCAGCTGAGAGGAGGGAAAAATATGGCATCCCAGAACCTCCAGCACTGAAAAAGAAAAAGTTCAGCCAGCCAGCACCAGTCATGTAAGCATTACTTCCTGTTCTTTGTTACATGTGAAACACAGTTTTAAGTTGTTGATTTTATGTTTAAAGGAATTTTAACAGTTTGTGGGTTTTTTTTTTTTTTTTTTTTTTTTTTTTTTTCGTTATGTTTTTTTATGTGCAGCAACTATGAACAGCCCACCAAAGACGGCCTCAACAGTGATAATATTGGGAACAAAATGCTGCAAGCCATGGGTTGGAAGGAGGGGAAAGGTCTTGGTCGTAACCAGCAGGGCATCACTGCTCCTATTGAGGTAATTTCAACTAAGTTATCTGGCATATTAAATTTAATAATTAAAATTAATTACAGTTTGTATTAACATTTGTGGGTTTCTTCCTCAGGCACAGTTGAGGACCAAAGGAGCTGGACTCGGCACTAAAGGCACCAACTACACACTTTCACCATCAGATACGTATAAAGATGCGGTTCGAAAAGCCATGTTTTCTCGTTTCACTGAACTGGAATGAGTCCTTCATTCCAAATTAGACTTTGTTTAATACGATGATATGTTTGGAGTAAAACTTGTATCACAGAAGGAAAAAGAATCTACTTAATTTCTCCATGTTATTCATAAAAGTCTGCGCTCTTGGTTTATTAAAACTGTAAATATTTAATTTATAAATTGTACATATACACAACTTTTTTTTTTTTTTTCCCCCATGGCTTATTTTTCCCATTTAGTTTTGGATCTTTGTTTTTTCTTTTTGTCTCAGCTTCTGAAGATTGTACAGTTTCTACAAGAACTTGTGTAAATGTAAAGAAAATTAAAAAATGATACATCGTTTGTAACAGTCTTCATTGCATTTGTTTACACCAGGTACAACTTGAAATTTGGTATAAAAAGTCAAAATATCCTTAAATTGAACCAGTAACGATAACACAAGCTAAGTTATCAACAAATTCAGTATCGGCTGAATGGTGGAATAACCAGGTTTTGCATGTGTGACCCTCAGTAAGCCTTTATAATATGCACAGTGATCTCATGTCAGTTAAATCATTAGACATTGTCTCATTCATGGGGCAGCCATCTTCCACTTGTCTTAAAATGAAGCCTTCCCCACCGTGCTTCTCTCAAGAGTTCATATCAAAGTTTGTTGTTTAGCCAAATTATCTAACTTGAGTGTTAAACTTGACCCACTCAGTCATTACTGACACACAAGTCGTCATAGTTTATAATATCAAATTGATCTTGGGTGAGAAAAACATTTGTTTGCAAACATTTAAAAAGCAGAAATTGTGTTTTATTTAGATATTTTGATAAATTCTAGTGTACAAACATCGTCCGTGCAGACCAGGTTTCTTCCGAGATATCGGAATATATTGGAATATGATGGTGTTTATCAGGTATTGCAAAGTATGGTGTAAAACTGCAACAGTGCCCCATGCGGTCACAATATACGGTGATCACAGAATATGATGTAACAAAAATCCAGGGTCCAAAGAGACGGTGGTGTATTCATCAGTTTGGACAAACTGATCATGCAGATGCTGTATGTGCAATGAGGGTTGCCAGATAAATTTAAAATATTTTATTTACCCCCTCCTTTTCTGTGCACATGTTCCACAAATGCAATGCACACCTCATCTTGGATATATCTTTTCTGACCACATATGACAGTTTAGGTTTAAATATTACCATTTTACAGTGACAGTAGTACTACAGTTCATAATTTCTTATCTGGCAACCCAAAATGGAAACTACAGCAGTTTTTGTGTAAATCCGCTCATTTTTTTGTTTATTGTAATAAACACTGGAAAAAAAAAAAGTTTCCAGAGGTTATGTACGGGTCTTCATAGGTAGATCACTTTAATTTTAAAAGTAGCTTGCACGCTGAAAAAGAGTGAGCACCCCCTGTCCTGGAGTGTTATGTTCTGTATGGAAGCTTTTACTAATGCACATTTACCACTCTACATTAAAGTACAGCAACTCCTCAAAGTAAGAACTTTGGCACCACTTTCTATTAATGGCCTCTTTATAAAGAATTTATATTAATATAGGTTATTCATGAAACAAACGTAATAAAGCATTTAATATAAGTTTTAAAACAGTTGTAAAATACTGAAGAAGGCTCATTTGGCAAGTTCTATACTGTATTTTTATTCATTCAGGTAAGTGTAATTATTCCAAATTACCAGTATTGCGTTTACTTTTCCAAATAAGTACACTATCAAAAACATTGTATCTACAGAGGTTCATAGTGCTTTCACTCGCATAACGGTTTGATTTTTAACATTTAAGATGTAAAACTTAAAAATACAGTGCTTGATCTTGCCAGATCCTGCTTCAATGTAAAAACTGATAACGTTTCTACTGATAGGGTTTAACACTTACTTTATAAAGCATTAATTAGTTATTTTAAAGGGACTCTGACTAATAACATATATTTGCGTTTTATTTCTCTTTGCTTGCAGGCTAAAAAAAATACTTGAGTTTAATATAACTACTTTTATATCCTGATACATGCTCAATGTATGATGAACCTCTAAAACTCAAATTATCATATTAGGATACTGGAAGAACCTGATCAATCATAATCTCCAGTTATGTAAATCGTCTTATTAGATGTCTGTTTTTGATTTTGTACTGAAGTCTCGTTCATCTGAGAAGAGATTTTCAGCCTCCCCGCTGGTCATCCCTTTCAACAATACGGGGTACAAAATGAAACCTAATCCATTGTCTCCTTGTTTTCATGAACCTCATGTTGACCCATTTTCTTATATATTTTTGCTTCTCGGGGAGAGGTGTTCACATGCATCACTGCAACGTAAATATAACATGGCAGTGCAATGTAAGAGTGGAGTTTGTTTGAATATCTTTTGGTTTTTAAAAGCTCTGCATATGGTCTTCCTACAGCGTCCACGTGTTCTCTAACCAGCAGGACAAAATAATGGAATAAACATTAGAATATGTCTAAAGGCAAAGTTGGCTAATGTTGTCTTTAGACCTTATGTTGGCCTCTTGAGTTTTACCAAGGTGTTTCAGTCTAAAATGAACCGTGTGGACCTTATGCTTTTACAGAAAATCAGTGATTGGTGGCAAATTCAGTAAATCTGGATTTTTGAAAGACGGTCCAATTTTTCACATACTTCTCTTTGTACCGACTGTAAAATTAAAAAAAAATGGCAGTCAGCTGTTCTTAATTAATTTCCTGTATCTTCAACGACTGTTTCCTACATATAGCCAGATGGTGACAGCAAGGCAAGTCTGTCCATCCAGTCCAGTCCAGCCAGTTGACAATCAGCTTGAACATGCACTGGAGGTTTTGGAAACATGGATGTTGTGCAACTAGCAGCAACATATTTTAAAACACACATGGCACTTTACTGTTTCTTCTATATTCATATATACAACTGGGACCTTTCTTTTATATATATATTTATACATTTATATATATATATATATATATATTTTAGATGAGCAGGGCAAAAGTGAGATGCCTTGTAACCTGTCGTTACATGTTTTAAAAGTCATGAAAGTTTGGGAGGTCCAGTGTGATCTTTTCAGGAATGTATGACTCATAACTTTCAGCCCGTTTGGTTAAAACTTGGCAGGTGCACAGCACAGGTGATCCATTTACCTTTGTCTCCATCTTCCTTTGTTGTATGGGAGTGGTTTGTGGTGAGATTCATGTTAGCACATGATTATCACTTTCTCTCCACCAGAGTTAGTCCTGAGGTTCCTCAGGGTTCAGAGCTTAAACCATTACTTTTTTCTTGATATGCTACATTAGATCAAGTTATTTTAGCTTGGGATGAACTTTCATAGTTATGCTGATGATACTAAATTATACTTAGCCATGAATCCCGATGAATGAATGACACAGCTCCACTTCCAGCCCAGTATTACGCGAAATGAATCACTCCTCAGCAGCAGCTCTCTGTGTTTGCACATGTGCAAATCGGCAGTATGTTCACTGAACAAATCACTGCCCTGCTCTCTCTGACAGACTCCCCTCTCTGTGTAGCTTACATTTGCATTGTGAGTGGCACAACAGCTTGTCCTAGAGACAAAATCCTTGATGAATTAATTTTCTGCTTTTAATCTTAGACAAGTCAAAGGTCATGGTTTTAGGATCTTAGCAGTTTTTTTCCTGCCTCTGGATGGCATTAAATTGGCCCCCAGTTCTAATGAACCTTATTATTTGTGATCAGGAATTCTGGATATGTCATTTAACCCCAAGTTTCTTCCACCAGGATTCTTCCTGTAAAAGGGAGTGTTTCCTTTTCCACTGTGTGTTTGCTCAAGATGGGAGATTGGAGATTCATCACATTTTGCTGGCTTCCTTTACATTATGGTCCATATGGTTCATTTTAGACTTAAAGGCCTTGGTAAACTCAAGAGGTCAAAATAAGGTTTAAAGATAATACATTAAAAAACACTTTCTGCATTGATATATTGTGGTGTGGGGCAGTTTAACATATGGCGTGTCACATACGTCATTTGGTATGATGTTCACAGTGTGGACAAAAAAAAAAACATCTTTGTTAGTGGTAAATCAAGTAAATACCAAAAGAACACAAGGAAATTACTAACAACAAGAGTCTCAAGCATTTCCATAGTTTTAAAAAGATTTAATGGAATTAATCTAAAGTATCTTGTAAGATTTAAGAATGTTGTCCTTTGCATGATGATTTAGAAAAATGAACCAAATTGTACCACATTTTCTCAAGGAAATGTCATGTTTCAAAGCAGTCGTGTATAAAATGTTTGAAGTGAGTTAAAAAAAAACCAAGTAGCCCATTTTCATTTTATACAAAAAAAGATTTCATGACATGACCATTTCTAGCACGAATACAACGAACAGATTAAAAAATTAAAATTGCAAAACAGAATCCAAATGTGCATATTTATATTTTGAAAGTTAAGAGTCATCACAACACAAAAAATATAATTTTCAGGGATAAAATTTGAAATAAAAAAAAAACCTTATTTCCATTCAGTTGATAAGATAAGATTTGTTTTTGTCTTCTCGGGCTCAGGTCATGTGTTTATGGTTTATGGCCTGTCACTTTTATTTGAATGACACTTTAAGTCCTCTAGCAGATTAGATTTTTAAAATTATTCAATTTAAATGGAACAATTCACTGTTTTCCTGTACTGATCATGTCACTGATAAAGGGAACAAAATGCATTTATTATTTAAACAATCTTTCCTTCCGTCTCTCTGTCTCCCTTCCTCGTCTACCTTTCTGTCTGTCTGTCTGACAACCTGTCTGTCTGCCTGCCTCAGTCAGGTTAGAAGAACCCAGTGTGTTTGTTTTGAGGTGGAGCTACAGGACACTTAGGACCTCCTCTGAACCCACTGACCCTTCTGATGGGGGTTTTCATGTTTAATGACATCAATGCTGAACTCCAGTTAATGGCCCTTGGGGCCTCTAGGGGCCACTTAACAGGCTACTGTTATTCTAATTCTGATTTAAAAGATTATACATTTTCTGCCTAAAATGCTTCTTGGTGACTTTATTCTGCACTTTAAAGCACCATTCATGTGTTACTTCTGCAGTGAAGCCTTTGGCTGCTTCATTAAATGTAATTTTAAATCCATCTTTTGATGTTTCTTAACGGAAATGCTCCTTTTTTGTGAGACTAAATGGAATTTTCCACTCGCCAAACTGGTTTAGGTTCAACTTGATCAAACCTCACCAGCATTTTAAACCAATAACTGCACTTTAAAAAAAAGTTGGAACTAAATGATTGTTATTTCTTGCTGACTTTTTCAGAAGCTTTAGGAGATCAAATTATATATATTTTGGTAAGATCTCTGAATGCTGAGTAGAGTGCATAAGAAGGAGAAACAGCGCGCAGATTTATGAGTGCGTCTGTTGGGTTTGCGCAAACACTAAAGATGCAAAAAAGTGACCTTTATTTAATCTGAGCAGATCATGATTCTTTTGCGCCAAAGACTGAGCGCGCGTGTCCCTGAAGAAACCTGACCTCTCAGAGAGTACATGAGCAGCTGAGGAGGAGGAGGGTGAAGGCGCTGCTCCGCGCGCAGGAGGCGGACCAAATGCGACCCCCACAGCTTAGCTGGAGATGTTTTTTTTTTTTTTTACAATGCCATCCATTTCCAAAGCACGTTGAAGCGGCGGCGCCGGAGAGAGTCGGGCTGAGTGTGTGCGTAAGGACGCGCGTAAATCAGGAAGAAAAGGAGGTTTTCCACGGCGCTGCGCTTTAAATCCTCCCCAACTCTGAGCGGGATTAGACTGGAAACCTTTGTGACAAGATACTTTGGTAAGGCTCAACACGTTGGATTCATTTTTTCCACATTACTTTATTCACTTGTAATTGATCAACTTGTTTTCTGTAGCTTATATTGAACACGGAGAGGCAGAGTTTTAGGGTGGAAACAGGTAAAGTGTTGGATCTTTCTGATCAAATGGCTCAGAGAACACATAATCAATCAAGAGGGGATCAATAAAGAAAGAGCAGCTCGGTCTCCCTGCACCATGTGCCGTCAGGAGCCCCGAGTGACAGACTTCTGCTGCGGGCTCCATCTTTTGTTCGTGCGACTCGTGTTGCGCGTCCAACCTGAAGTCAAACTCGCCTGGACACAGATAAACCCCGACTGGATGATGGCGACAAACACAGATCAGCTGAGTTCTCCAAATGTTGACAGTTTTCACCCCCGTTATCGCTGCGCTTTTAATGAAACTTCCACTTTTTCTTGGAGACATTTCCATCCAGTTCTGCCTAACCTGTGGCCCTCACGCGCACAAATCTACATAATAAGTTCAGTTAGTTTGAGTTTAGTTCCCCACAAGAGAAGCACACAGTTACCAACCAACAGAGGGCACTTCCAGCCCTCATGCAGGCTGAACATGTGGAGGAAGAGTGCATGTGTGGGAAGTTCATGGTGCACAGTTTTCATCTTTTCTGGCTATTGAATGTTCTCATGATATCATTGTGTTCCTGGTTATAAAAGGCTTTGGGTACCAGGGGAGACAACAGTTTCAGCCTTCTCTCAAAGAGCTGACAGATTCAGAACATATGTCTGTATCTGTTGTAGAGACAGACTGTGCTGTGCTGGTTGGCTTTTATTTTTAGAGCAGCAGCTATGGGTTTTCAGAACTGGTCAGATTAGGCTGATTTTAGCTGTTTCAAGCTTCGTAACGTGGAGCATTTGGTGTCGTTTTCATTTATCCAAACGGATTTTCGCAAATGTTCATTCAGGTAAATAAGAACTTTTATGTGTTTTTCTGTTCGGCAGATGTTTATTAAAAAAAAAAAAGTTTTAACTGGCTCGGGTGTTAGTTAAAAAATCTTCAGACTTTGTTATATTTGCTTTTTTCTGGGCGTGTGTGAAGCTTCAGCTCCAGTGCAAATATTTGCTTTATCTCTGTCATATTCAAGCTAAATAGTCTAATTATTTTAGGCTTTTTCTGTTTGAAGGTCGATCATGCTTAACACAACATGAGACCTCCCTCAAAAGAGTCATTTAATCCAGTGTGATAAACAGAAATTAATCTTTTGTTAATATGCCTGAGATGAAAGCGATAGTGTGATAATGTGTGTTAGGTGTACTGATTAACTAAAACACTCGATTACAAAGTGGTTCGTGCAGCTAATCATTAAATAATTTAGGGATTTAGTGCCATCACGTTCTTTGATATGGTTGTTGCAGTTACTTTTTGGCAACAGTGGAATACAGTGATACCAGAAATAAGAATAAAATAAGTGTGGGCATTTAAGGTGGTCACGGTTGATCTCAAATTACTGTATACTGTATTTTTCGGACTATAAGACGCACTTAAAACCCTTTAATTTTCTCAAAAATCAGCAGTGAGCCTTATAATCCAGTGCGCCTTATGTATTTTTTTTATTTTTTTATTAATTAACCTTTATTTAACCAGGAAAATCACATTGAGATCACAGATCTCAATTGCAAGGGGGACCAGCCTAACATGCATGTTTTTAGTCTGTGGGAGGAAACCAGAGTACCCGGAGAAAACCCTCGCAAGCACGAGAAGAACATGCAAACTCCACACAGAAAGACCCCAGGTCCAACCGGGGATTGAACCCAGGACCTTCTTGCTGTGAGGCAACAGTGCTAACCACTGAGCCGTCATGCTGTATATATTCTGGTTGTGCTTACTGACCTTGAACTGATTTTATGTGATACACGTAGGGTTGGACATTAATTCGATATCAATATATGTCGCAATATACTTTTATTCATTGACGGTGATATGATTTTTAAGCACATTTTCTGCATTTCGATATAATTACAGCGTTACACTGACACATTTCTTTTTCTGTTCGGGTTGAAGCGGCCGCTTCAGTTTCATCCCGCACAGAAAAAGGTGCGACACAACTACGTAAGTGCGTGGTGACATAGATGTTACGCAGAGCTCGAGTCCAGAAGGCGTTAGCAGGCTAGGCTAATCACCAACACATGTTAAGTTTTCGCTTCAAAATGAGTTCCCATGACCGTCAGAATGTGACTGAACAAGTTTTCACAAGCGAAGAGAAAGCAGATGACGTAACAGATAAGAGAGGAAAGACTAATTCAGTGGTGTGGAAGTGGTTCGGCTAGCTAAGATCCGATAAACTGCAGGTTTCAGTCAGTGCGCTGCAAAATGTGACAATCGTTCCAACTAGTGGTGGGAACACATCGAACTTGTTCCACTTGATAGAATATGGTGAGAGTCAGAAGATGAAGCACAATAAAAGTTTGAACCAATGTGTCCCTGAAACAACACCCCCAGCTGTATCAAAAGAGAAACATTTGCTGCATGGGTTAGGTTATGGTGTTTAAAGTTAAAACTATTAATATTGACAAAGTTGAGAGTTTTATGTTTATTTGACGATGATTTAAACATTTTTTGAAGGCTAAATACAAATAAATGAACATTAATTTGTACAGTTTGTACAGTTTTTATGAGGCTTTTATATTGTTTCTATCGTTATCGACAGAAATTAAGAAATATATTGTGATAAAAGTTTGGGCCATATCGTCCAGCCCTAGGTACACGGTGCTCAAAAATCTGTCAAAATGAACTTATTTCGCTTCGTGCGCCTTATAGTCCGAAAAATACTGTATATAATCTTACTAGTTTAGATGTTTAGCAAGTTGGAAAGTCCTGAGTTTGCAAAGCTGAATATTTCTCTGCAACAACGGTTGACTTGGCAGGAACTGAGGTACTTTACTCCCCATGCTCGGTTGATCCAAGTTGATGTGGGACAGGGTGAAGTGTTTTTCACATCAGTTCCCATTTAAACACCCTTATAAGGGCTTCCATGTTGGGTTGATCACAGGGGAGCACGAACAGATAAGCTCCTGTGCAGTCAATGACCTCAGCTCCTGCAGCGATCAAAGTGTTGGAGATGTTTCAGGGGGAGGCTAACAGGTGCACGCTGGGTGGTTGTGGAGGTTTTATCCGAGCTGGACGCAGCCGGCTGCTCCTCTGAAGAGATCTGTGAATATCTGTGTCTGAGTCAGCCCCAGTTTTAAGTGTCAGGCCCTCCAGAGTTTATTCTTATCTTTGTCATGGGGCTTGTAATCTATGTGGGTTGAACTTGACTGCGTCATGTACTGGGTTCTGTTCACAGTTCTTGAAAAGCTATTTTCACTGCATTTATTCAGAAAATTCACAAGAGTTCTTAATTGCTTTCTGCGAAACTTTTCACCCTGAAGTTTTCCTGCATTTTAGATTTATTCAAAGTCATTAGACACAAGTTCAAATCCTCTGAAGCAGTCAAGGCTAATTTATGAGCTTTTAGTTGAATCTTGCTGCAACTAACCATGTTATTTATTTATTTATTTGTTTTTTAGGAGGTAACAGATTGTCGTAGATATTTTCATGTATGTATTTTGGTCCTAAAACCTTTTATGGAAAGCACAAATCCTTTATTTTGTTCATTTGTTTCATTATCAGAACTCGTGTAGCATCATATTTAGTAGCAGACAAATGTTTACTACAACAAAAAGGAGGACCAAAAATTTTAACAGGTGTCAAATATGTGACTGAAAACATCAAGACCACAACCCAAAATAATGTTCCATAAACTACTTATAATACCTCACGATTGTTGTTTTTTTACTTACTGGGCTTTTTTTTTTTTTTAGCATGACACAAATTGTCTCTTCTCTTTAAGTTCAGTTCATTAAATGTTCTTGTTCAGCAGCCAGGACTTCTTTTACAGATTCATTCATCCGTCCTTTATTTATACAGGTTAGTGTTATTGAGTGACAAGGACTCATTTTCAAGAGACATTTGACTTTTCTCGCCAAGCGTCAAACAGTTTTTACACAAGAATCTTAACAAGTACACAAACCCTCAGCTGTGTTCTGATATCAGCTGGTAGATTTTTTGAAAAACTTACGTATTCCCCTCGTTAATGGTTTCAGGTTTTGGCTGCATGGATTTGGACCAGGTCAGACTTTGTGCTCAAATGGACAAGAAATCATGCCCAGGCCAAGTCTGGGACTGTTTTTGTTCTGATTTTATTTTTTCTGACTCGCTGGACGTTGGGCATTAATAAGCCAGGTCATAAAGTGATTCCCTCTTAGATAGATAAGAAGAGGAAATGATCAAAAGAGACCTCGCTTTACCTTCATCAACACCTACCGTAATTTCCAGACTATTGAGGGCACCTGAATATAAGCCGCGCCCAATAAATTCAAAAACAAAAAAGATTTGTACATATATAAGCCGCGGGTGCCCACATTGTAACATGAGATATTTACTCAGAAATATTTGTTAAATGTTTAATTAAATACGTACCGGCAACATACACAAATAGGTACAGAAAAAGTTTTTTCCTGAACAGTGCCTGTAATATCCATCCATCCATTATCTTTACCCGCTTCTTCCATTTTTGGGTCACGGGGGTCGCCGATGCCCATGTCCAGCAATCTGTGCGAGGGGCGGGGTACACCCGCCAATGACCAGTAAAACCAAGTTTCATTGGTCCACTTTATTTAAACAGGTAGCCTCACTAGCTATGTTTACATGCGCAAAATTCTTTGACCGGATTGAAATGTTTTCAGATTAAATAATTCAAATGTATCGTTTACATGGGCACAATCCATTCACGCCGAGCGTTTACATGCAGCGGGCTTTGTTCTGAACAGAAGTACTGACATGCGCAGAGTGGTAAACTCTCCTTAAAAAACACTGAAGAAGACGTTCTACTTCCTGTTCACTTCCGGGATGAACGTAAACAAACCTGAGCACCCAAAATGGACCCGCAACTGGTTTTAATGACAGTGGAGACGTTACTGCACTCCC